CCCCCCCCTATACACGAACCATCCAGTATTCATAGACCAATACACTGACACTCAAGTGCCCCCTCTGAACAGCCCGCTCTCTAATCGTCCCCTCATTTGGCAGATATTGCCGCGGAAGTCGTCCTAAGATTGTAGACCAACAGTCCGGCACCTCCCGCGACAACTGTAACCCAGCCCAGGCCGCTCCGCCCAGAGTGACGGCCCTTGAGAGGCCTGGGACAGCGCGCGTGTTTGCCTCCCTTGGCCCGGCGCGGAGGTTCGGAGCCGACTTGATCCTGAGCTGAGCGGGGTTTGACACTGCTCAAATACTTGTCCAGTCTCGGGTTACCTCCCTCCTCGCTTGCCACACGGGCCGTCCGCTTTGTGGGGGGACCTACCGACGCCGGGACACCCTCCACACGCCCACACATCGCCGGGACCACGCCCACATCTCACTCCACATCTCACCCACATTTCACCCACATTTCACCCCACACATCTCACCCACATCATACTCACACCACACCCATATTTCACTCCACATCTCACCCCCACACATCTCTCCCACATCTCGCCAACATCACCCTACATCATCACCACTCACCACGCTCACACCATACCCACACCTCACCAACACCTCACACACATATCACCCCTCACATCACCCCTCCCCCTTTTGTCCGCCCCCTTTTGCCATCGAAACAATCGTAAACACACAAACATTGACAAACATTGACAAACATTGACAAACATTGACAAACATTGACAAACATTGAAAAACATTGACAAACATTGAAAAACATTGACAAACATTCACAAACATTGACAAACATTCACAAACATTGACAAACATTTGCAAACTTTCACAAACTTTCACAAACATTCACACACACACACCTGCTCGAAAGTGACTCAACAAACAAGCTCATCTCTCCATCAATAAAAGACGTAAATATGATAAATTCCCAAACTACCAACATCCAATTCAAAACTATAACCAGGGGTTACGTTGCCCTGAATAAATTGATACGGTAAACACTTTTATCAGTCGTCCTCATCTATCTCCAAACGTGTGCCTGCGGTGCTTAAAAGGGGGCTCAGTTTGGTTCAAGGATGAATAAGAGGGTGGTTGGCAGGTGCTCTGGTGCGGTTTAAACTCCTTCTTTCTTATTTTAAAAAATCTATCGTCCTTATCTCCCCTCCTTGTGTGTGTTTGTTACTCTCTTGTAACACCTCTAATCTTCAGCACTTATTTGACCTCATTGCGTTACAAGTGCCTTAAAACACTTACAAAGACAAAATGATGAATCTATCCGACAAATTTTTAATGTGCTCTCCATTTCAGTGGGTACAACTATGCCGTTCTTTCATGTGTTTTCTGCAGCGGTTCTTTTAAGATGCGGGCTTTTTTTCTTCACCCTTTCTTCCTTTTTTGGCTCTGTCTATCTATCAATCTATTTATTACACGCACACACATACAAATAAACAAATACAAGCACAAACACACACACACACACACACACACACA